CAAGAGTGAAAAAGTTAAAATTTCAAAGAGGGCAATTGGTGATGATGGGGTGAGTTCTTTTTTGAATCTATAAGCAAGTTACATTTCAAATGATCCAAAAAGCAACATAAGCTCATGCCTTTTCTGATCTCTAGCCGTCATGAGCCATGACTAATTGTTTTCCATATTTGTGTTTGTCCTTTTGCTTTTAGCATTTCTTTCAATGCTATTGAGAATGGTTGAAGTTGGTGAAGTGAATCATTAACTTGTTATTGAGAATGGTTGGGCTCTGTAGTTGTTTGCCATTTGATAGTTGGATTTTCCTTTGGCATGTTCTTAGAATGAAAATCTGTTTTCAGTTCTACATGAGTCAGCCTTTTGGTTGAAAATCCTATTATCTTTTACTTGGTATATCGAGGTGTTTCTAGAAAGTTATTGAAGTCATTAGCGGTGTGTTTGATGGAGGATTGCTGGATAGAATAAAATTTGCATATTTGGTTATTTAAATTATTTTTTTCTCATTCATGTGTAATGCAAAAATTTCTGCTGACAGGAAGAAAAAATTAAGAAAAATTTTTTAATGAAAAGTAATAAAAGAAACCCATATTCACTCAAAAAGAGGTGGGTCAAGAGATCTTAATTAGATGACACATACCTGACCATTTGGCTTGACTTGACTTACATTGAGTTTAAATTATAATATAGTTTTGTAGGTATTGTATTATCAAATTTTTTTTTTTAACCTCATATTTTGAGTTTGGCTGGGGTTGGGGGTCTAGTTGATAAGTTTGTTGAGAAGGAAAAGCCCTTCCTGATGGCATATGAAGGAATTCAAAGTCAAGAAGAATGGGAGGTATATGCTGTTGCTTTTGAAATATGGTTAATAGATTTTATCCTCGAAGTTGATTTTTTTGTATTCCTATCACTTTGAACAGTGTTTGGTGTGTCTTTTCTTGAATATCCATCTTTCGCTGCAAATATGCAAGAGTTTAAATGCTCCAGTTATGCTAGTTATTCCAGCAAAGACAAGAAAAAGAAAAAGAGAACTGCAGGCTTCATGTATCTTGTGAGACAGATCTCTTGTACTGCTGGCTAAATGCACAGTGTAGAAGAAATTAATTATATAAAAAACAAAATATAAATAAAATAAAAAAACCAATTGGAAAAGTTGTATCAAAAACCTGCAAAGATATGCACAGAATGCAATTGAAATAATTGGAATATTATGAGTTGTGTAAAATTAGGAATACTATTTTATTGTATTGAAATCTCAACTTCTGTTAGCTGAATTAATGGCATGATTCTTCTATTGTGCCCTTTCTACTTATGAAATCTTGCCTCATACTGGTGAGACTTCTCAGTGTGGCTGTTAGCACTTTATTTAATTACATGATACAATAGAGATCCTATTAACAATGTAATGAGCAAGGAACCGATGTGTCTAATCAGTTTGAACTACAATTGAATACTTTAATGAGTTAAACATTTATGCTGAACCATTTTAGAGTTGGTATTATGGATTTTTTTTTTCCAATAATGATTTTAGTATTATGACTTGGGTTTAGAAGTTGTTTGATGTTTGCTATTGGTTTTCAGGAAGCTGTCAACGAAGCGATTGAGATGGTCCTGTTATGGGAAAAGGTTATTGATCAGTACTGTGGACCTGATAGGATTACAGCAAAGAAACAGCAAGAGAAGCTAGAAAAAGTTGCCAAAAACATTCCTAACAATGCGCCTGCTTCTGTGAAGCAATCTGCCAATCGTTCAGTTCTTTCCCTGCAGGTCAGTAGTCACTCTCATCGTTCTTTCATGTCTCGATCTTGAAGTTGCTTTGTATACTGGTTAAATCATATGATGATCTACATGAAATGTTTACCATCTGCTGTTAACATTACAATGCAGAGCAACCTGGTAGAGGATTTGACAAGAAATTCCAATTCATGGATAAGCTTGCACGAGAGGTCCCTCAACAATACAATTGAAGTTGGAAGGCTTGTTTCTGATGATGATGTCGTGATTACTGAGATCCATCTTTATATGGAATCGATATATGTTGATTCAATCTTCATTTGAAAAATAATATGATATGCAAAATGTTTTTCAAAAAATTTTGGAGTTATGTGCTATAATTGACTGTTGGAGATAAACTCCTTAAGCAGGTCTTTTGCTTTTTTTTTTTTGCAACAATACTTCATTTGAAAACAATCATATGTGTGGTATATTGTATGGGGATCAGCGAACAGCAATCACTAGAATACAAGCAAGATGTTAAGCATGACCATAACATGAGATGAGAGACTTTCTATGGAATGAAGTTTCTTATTATCCTTGGTGGCAAACTCTGGTTATGGACATATCATTGAAGGTTCTTTTGAGCAAATCTTAAGACATAAAGAAGCATAGAAGTAGCTTCAATGTTGTTTACAACAAAATCTATCTGAGTTTGACCATGGACTAGAGTATCATGTCTCGTGTTGCCAGAGGTGAATTATAATATAAGTGTTGCAACAAAAATTTATTGGATTTGTCTATTAGAAAGCATGAAAATTAACACCTTCATTTCATGCTACCTATGAATCAATATCCAAAACACTAGTATTTCCATCAGTTGTGGACAAGACAATAGGAGACAGGTGTTCATGACTACGACTGGAAAAGGACATGACAAGAAGTGATTTGCGTCCTTGTAATCCTTTCTACTTGTGGTGTGTGAGTCGGTAGCATAACATTGAATAAAGATGCCACTGTTAGCAATTTTAGCAGCACCCTAATTGTTGCCATCCACCCGTTTATCTGTAAAACAAGTTAAAAAGATTCCTGCATAATCGAGGGGAAATCATTAGTCACCTCATTCTCCTGAGCAGATTTGAGTTTTCTTAAAAGAAAAACCACAAATCCAAAATCAAACATGTAATCTCTTAATTGCCATCACTCTGTTTTATGAATCTCATACCTAATAATTTAGTCATTTCCTTCTTGTGACGTACCATATGATTATGGGAACCAAACGAGCAACCAGACGCACAAAGAAAATCTGCAAAAACAAATGATTGTACATGAGTACAGACACAGTATTAAAATCTATAAGCAGAAGTGTAGAAAAGCAATGTCATAAATGAAACAAAGGCTTGAATACAAGTCCACACTAGAGAATCTCGAACAACCTCAGATTCTTTTTTTATGATTGAAACTTCAGGTTCTTCAGAAGCTTGAATATAAGATACAAAATAGTTTGGTTGGTGCCTGTAAAGCTGCAACCATAAAATGCATTTGAGTATCGTATATTTTTATGCAATCTCTACTCTACTTCAGGAGAACACATCAAAAACTTTTAAAAGGTGGTTAACCAACAAAAATCAAATAAACTTAATTTTTTATGGTGACATACCTACATTGGGATCCCTCTTTTGAAGGACCAGGGGTTGTGATAATTTGAAAAAAGACAGCTATGTACAAACAAGAGACAACATATTGGAATCAAACTCACGCGCTGCTGAAACAACCTGAGCAATAATTAAACAGCCATCTTAGAATAGGAGATGAAAATAGTAATAATTAAGCAGCCATCTTAGGAGATGAAAATCAAAAGTAGCAGTACAGAAAAAGCAAATGCATTTATAGTGATTTTTAAGATCATAATTTTTTTTTATTGATGATCTAAGCTTTTGAATCAATGGCATTAAAATATGCCTTGTAGGAAATGCAGGCAAACCTATGCCAATTTGGCTCAAATCAGGTGACATGCCCTTACCAAGGGACCTTGAACATCATCCACGTCAATCCCGTGAATTGGTTGGTTTTCAAAGAATTAGCAGAGCAATTAAGAAATGACATTGAATATCCTCCCAAATCTTAGCTAAATAAAACTGAGCCCCTTGAAGAACAGACTGCACAATCCAAATTTCCAAGTGGGTAAGATTAATACTAAAATGCAGAACCAAAATCCTTAAATGTTAAACCCAGAGAAAAGTCTAGTAAGCATACCAGAATTGTCTTTGGCTTGGCAAACACTGCTGCTTTCCTTCCTCTCCTCCTGCCATGCCATCTTTGGAATATCAGATGAAATTTCAAAAACCAAGACTTGCAGTAGTTCATTTTCATGTTGAAGCAAATTCTGCTTGTCCTCACACTCCTCAAATGTGTAAGATGAGTTAAATTGATCAAGTGAAGAGCGATGAATTAATTACCACAACGTTGAAGCTTGTAGGATATCAATTCAGAATTCTAGAAATCATCATTCCATCAACTCATTCATTATTCACTCATAATTAATCACATCTACATGCAGTATAAGAATATGAATCAAAAGTGAGAAAAAAGAAAACATGAATTATATATGGTTTGAGAGAGAACAAATAATTTTGACGAGATAACATTAATTGACGGCACCCAACAGCAATGGAGGGAGCAGCATCAATCCAATTAATTGATAGAGGATGAGGAGAGAGATTTTACTTTTTGGTGCTGGAATTCGTACAAGTGCAGTTGCAAGAAAAAAGAAACACAAACCTCTTTGCCTTAGTCATCGAATTCGTCTTCACCTTGGATGATCTGCTCACCTATTCGGATGCATGGAATGTGGGAAATCTTGTGCCAGTCAGGACCGCTTCCCTTGGTGCATCTTTCCTTTAACTCGTCTGGACATTCAACAATTTCAAGTCGTTGAAGAGAGGACAAGTTGTTAAACCAGTCTGGCAAAGATTCCATTGCACTGAATTCCTCTATCGTCAACTCCTTTAGAGCAGTGAGGTGTTGAATTTGTGGGAGGTGAGTTAGTTTTTCCCATCCCGTCAGGCTCAAATGTTCAAGGGAGGCGGGGATGGAACTCAGACTTGGGAATTCTTCCGGGAATTCTTCCAGCTCTTCTGAGAAACTATCGATCCATAGTTTCTCCAACCTAGTGCAGCAGGGGAGACTCTCCTCTAGGAAGCGCCCCAATTTTGGATAACCTGAAATTTGTAGAGTACGCAATTCCTTCAACTCTCCTTGGAAAGAGGCCAGATTAGGGCAATCTATTATCAGCAGGTCCTCAAGAGATGACAGCCCACCTGATAGACACCTTAACCGAGGACACTCCCAAATCATAAGTGTTTTAAGACAAGAAAGGTTTCCCAATAAAGCTTCTTCCACTCCATTGACGCTTGAGATAGATAAGTACCTGAGAGCAGTGAGGCGATGAATTTGATGTGGCAGAGTTAGCGATTCCCCCCATCCATTCAAACACAAGACTTCAAGGGAGGAAGTGGAACTCAAATCTGGGAATTCCTCCAGCTCTTCTGAGAGACGGCCAAGCTGTAACGTCTTCAAGCTGGCAAGAGAGCCCAAGATCTCCTTTGGGAAGCTCGTCAATTTTCGACATTCCCAAATATCCAACTCAACAAGAGACTGCAACTGTTTCAATTCTTCAGGAATAGAAACCAAATTAGAGCATTCCCCTATCTTCAATTTCTCCAGAGCAGTGCAAGATGAGAGCCCACTCGGTAGACGCTCTAATTCATTACAGCCCTTAACATTTACT